ACGGTACTTGCTGGACAGGACCGGACTGCCTAACTGGGACTGTTGACTCAGCGAGGTGGCCTACCACCACTTGACCACTTGCCCCTGTTCAATGCAGGTCCACTCCGAAAGGCCACTTCTAGAAACCTCTAACTTGGCCTTTAAGTACTGTAGCAGCTACGACTTTGCCCCTTCAGGTAAGTAGCAGCTACGACCTTGACCCTTCAGGCCTCCTACTACGACTTCGGAACTGTCTAGACTCCTACTCTACAGGTCTACAGTTCGATTCCCTTCTACCTTGTGACTTACGAAAACCTACCTGCCACTGGCGGTCCTACAGGTCGCAGGTTCAAATCTATGGGTTGACACTGATATTGTACATAGGTAAGACGGGGAACTAGGGATCGAGCCCTGGGATCTGCGTTCGCTACTGCGAACTGGTGAATACCGTTTCACTCCCGCTGGCCTGAATTCGAGGTCCTCCGAGAAAATTTCAGTCCAAGGCAGGACCTTTACCTTTCTGTTTTCTCTCGTAGGCTCGGACTATATCAGGAGCGGTCTCTAAAAGTTCAGATCTTGTAAACCAGCGGTCGTCTTCGGGTTCTTGATAACTAAAATGAACCTTGTACTGTTTCTGTGGACGACCCCTACCTCTAGTCCTGAAGACATCTTCGGCCACTATCCCATCAATGTCGTATCTTCCATCCATATCCGGTGGGATCATGGACCTAAGGGATGGAAACTGGTCACTTGTTTGACACGGTAACAACTTTGATGCATGGAATACTGGATACGTGTGGAGGTGTGCTGGGAGTTCTATGGTATAGGACGGTCCATCCTCGCCGCCCTTGACTTCTAAGACTGTCCACGGTCCTCTATATGTGGGCAGTAACTTCTGCGAGATGTTCTCCTCAGGTGCAAACTCTTTAGAACTGACCCAGACTAAGTCGCCTACTTGGAACTGTGAGGGGMGACGATGCTTATTGGMTTKCTCTATCATYCTGTGCTGGGCYTTTYTGAGGTTCTCTACTACAGYAGCTAGTTYTTTCTCGTGTTGCACAGCAAACTCCCTGGTCCCGGGCGGCAATCTGTGAATCTGATCCCGGTTGAGCCCCTCAAACGGCCTGCGCGGTCTAAAGGACTTGTCACTTGTGCAGTTCGTTGGGAGTGCGGCAGGTGGATAAATGCACGCTGTTATTATACGCACTAGCTACTTTAGGCAACATCTCGTCCCAGTTAACCTGATCTGGCCTAATGTATATGCGCAGAACTTGCTGTTGGATCTTGTTCATCTGCTCTGTCTGACCGTTAGTCTCTGGATGACGGTCTGGCGACATCAACAACTTAGATCCATATACTCCCATGAGTTTTTGCCAGTTCTGGCTGGTAAAGCGACTATCTTTATCGCTAACTATTGAGAGTGGGATTCCATTTTCACTCACCCAACAGTAAAAAAAACTCTGTATAACTAAGTCAGTACGTGCCTCTGACAGCAAAGGAACAAAAAACTGCATACTTACTAAAACGGTCGACTATGACCATGACTTGGCTCTTGCCATGCCTGCTCTTGACTTGAGTGTCCATGACGTCTATGGACACTGAGTCTCCCGGTTGATCCGGAATGGGTAAGGGTCTGAGAAGACCTAGCGGGGCGCGCGTAGAACTCTTGTTACGCTGGCAGACTTTGCAACTGCGAACATACTCTATGCAGTCATTCTTCATTCCTGGTCAGGTATACGCACGCATTAGATTGGCTAACGTCTTTTGCCAACCAAAATGACCCTCTGTGTCGTGGCATTCTCCCAGAATCAAACTACGAATCTCTTCGCTACGAGGAATGCACAGGAGGTCGAATACATTTGTCTTCTCGAAGAGCAACCCCTCGGTAGTGCGGTAGTTCGGTTCAGTCTTTGGGGCCTCTTTGACTTTCTTAAGGAGGTCACTGTAGATAGGGTCCTGCGCGTAGGCTTCTCTAACCTTCTGCTGTAGATCCTTCCCTATGTCTAGGAAATGCACTATTGCCCCAAAGTAATCTGCTCGCCTACTCAGAGCATCCGCGACTACGTTATACTTCCCTTTGACAGGCTTGAGCTCGAAGTCGTATTGATCTATCTCTGCGGCCCACCTAGTAAGCTTAGGTGTCATCTTGGCCTGCGTCTTTAACCATCGTAATGTTTCATGGTCGGAATAGACTTTGAAGTGCCTCCCAAGCAAGTAGTGCTTCCAGTGGTCTAAGGCTTGCCTCAGAGCGTAGAGTTCCCTCTCATAGGTAGATGTCGCGACCTTCTCTGAAGGCATCATAGCAGACATGAACTCTACGGGTCTATACCCATTGCCATCGTCTGGCTGTAACACTGCGCCTATGCCGTATTGACTCGCATCGGTCGTGACGACAAAGGGCAAGGACGGATCGGCGACTTTAAGGACTGGACACTCTATCAATGCCTGCTTTAACTTCTTCATGGCAGACGTGCAGTCCTTATCCCACTTCCAGATGGTCTCCTTTCTCAACAATCTGCGAAGGGGCGCAGCGATGGTAGAGAAGTTCCTCGCGAACTTCCCGTAGTAATTAGCTAAGCCCAGGAACGAGAGCAACTCTGTCAGCGTACGTGGCGTGGGCCAATCTCTAATCGCTGCGATCTTGCTATCCTCTGACTTAACGCCATCTCCGTCTTAGACGTGGCCTAAGTATAAAACTTGGGTCTTTGCCCAATCGCACTTCTTTGCATTGATCTTGAAGTTAGCTTCTCTCAGTTTCTCCAAGACCTGCCTAAGATGACCCTGATGCTCCTCGAGGGTCTTGCTAAACATTAGGACGTCGTCTAAGTAAACTACGACGAACCTGTCTAACCATGGCCTAAGCAAATCATTCATACAGCGCTGGAACGTAGCTAGCGCATTGGTTAGTCCAAAGGGCATCACTATGAACTCATAGTGCCCATATCTAGTCCGGAAGGCTGTCTTATACTGATCATCAAGATGCACTTCTATCTGATGATATCCGGACTTCAAATCTATCTTGGAGAAATACTTTGTCCCCTGTACTCGATCTAAGAGATCATCTATTCTAGGCAGAGGCTCAGCATTCTTCACCGTAATCGCATTCAGACCCCTGTTGTCTATGCACATCCTTAGCTCTCCCTCTTTCTTGGGAACAAAGAGAACAGGCGCTCCGAAAGGAGACGAACTGGGCCTAATCCAACCCTTCTCGAGGAGCTCGTCTAATTGCTTGTGAAGCTCCTCTAACTCCCGTGGGGACATCCTATACACGGCGCCCTTAGGAGTTCTACTGCCAGGCTCTATCTCAATGTGGTGCTGGATGGGCCGCGGTACCACTCCTATCGGCGGCTCAGTTAGATCCTTGAACTCTTCCAGCAGCTTGGCAATCGCAGGGTCCATCGGCTTTTCTTCCGTAGGCTCAGTCACTGGCCTAACATAGGCAACAAAAACCTGTTCCTCCAGTTTCTCCTTTTTCACTAATCTGGCGAACGCAGGAGCACTAAGACAGCAATGTGCCAAGGGATTCTCTACTCCTGACACATGGAACAGGCGGGCAGTCTTAGCCTCGCCTGAAGAACTAGGGAGCCTACACTCGTGCTCCTTCAAATAGAGCGTGGCCCCGGCTGCCTCTCCCCAATCCATTCCCGGGACAATATCAAATGCGAGGCTGTCTTCTACGAGGAGAGTCAGGGAGTGGAGGACCTTCTCCACTTCCCCATCTTTCTCTAGGCAGAAATACGCTTGGACTCCCTCTACGTAATCCTCTACAACCATGGTACGATTGTCTGCGAGGATACTAACTATAGGATCTGCTAACTTTTGGACTTCAAGTCCCAACTTCAATTTCTGCAGCGCTTTCTTACTAATATAGCTGCGGGTGGCCCCTGAGTCTACTAGGGCCCCTACTCTGCCTCTAAAAATCTTTGTATCTACTAGGATAAGCTGCCCTTTATTCTCCTTTCTCATCTTGGCCCAGGCGGGCATCCTCTCCTTCAACTCTTCGGCCACGCCTGTGAGGGAGGTGTCTAGAGAGACTCTAACACAAGCAGTCTCTGGACAGCCATCTAGACACCGGCCTGCAACCTCAGCGATAGGCACATAGGGTGTGGGAGTGTCCTGCCGGCTAGTGCTGTGTTCCCCACATGGCCTAATCGTAGGGGCAGTTGCTACCCCTATCGGCGGCTGCCGTTTGACCCTTGAGAAGCCGTTCGGGTCTCCCGATACTTAGGACAGTATTTGATGATGTGGCCCGGGKCACCGCAGAAAATGCACTGGCCCCGGTCCAATCGTTGTTGCCATAAAGCCTGGTCCAGACCCAAAGTTTCCCAAGGCTTACCTTGCGGTAGCCCTGGGTGCCAACCTCTAACCCTATAGGGAGACCTATTCCTAGGACGGTTTTGCGGGGGACCTTGACCCCTTCCTCCCGCTTGGCGGTTTCCTCCCCTCCCGCCAACCCCCTGGCCGCCCTGAAACCGGCTCCCTGAGGCCCGGCCTCCTTGGCCTTGGCCTCGTCCTCCGCCTTGCAGCCTCCCTCCAGCCGCGACAGCAGCGTAAATCCTCCCCTGGCCTACACCGCTGCCCTCCTTCTCTAACCCCCACTCAATCTGATCGTAGGGGATCTCATCCACATTATTTTCATCTAAAGTTAGGACAAGGCTATCCTTAGTTTTCACCTGCCCAGAGATAGTGCGGCCTTTCCATTGCTTTCCCTTGTCCAAGTCTTTGTGCGAAAAGGTAGACACAGATGCAGACTTGGCTTCAAAGGCCGCCACTTCACGACTAAGAGGATCATAAGTAATGGTCGGATCTTCGCTCTTCGCGAAGAAGTGCCCTCGCAAGGCTTCGGGGATAGCCCGGTAGAAGAGGCCGACCAATTGGGTGTCTGTGACCCCATGGTCAGGAACAACGATTAGTTCGTCCATTGTGCTCTTGAGTGCTCTGGCACTCTTCCACTTACGAGCGTGGATTGTCTGGAGCCTATCTGAGGCCTTGACACTTCCAGCGACATCTGCAAATCGCTCGCCCAGCAGTCTCATGAACTAAGTGAGGGAGGTAAATGCCGAATAGGCAACTGCATCATCATTGCAGTTAGCGGTGCGCACTAGGGACCTTGCAAAACTGGCGGCCTCATCTGTCAGCGCGTGGATCGCAATCAAGACATGGTGATCCGGGGAGAACTGTTGCAGATGCACATAGGTCTTGACATTGGTCTCCCAGTTGTCAAAGTTCTCTTCCCTTTTCCCACTCTAGGAATCAGGGAATTTGACCTTGACTGGCTCTCTACGCGGCGGGCGTGGTTCCTCCTCCTTGGGAGCTGCCGCCTTGACGCCCTCAACGGCGCCAGCGCAAAACCGCTCGGTCTTGTCGAGGCGATGGCCCACCTCGGCTCCTACAGCGCCCACTAACTCACGAGTAAAGTCTCAAAATCCCAATCGTATCGAACGTACAGCTATATGCTGACTCCTACTAAAATCGTATTGCTATGCCTGAATTCGGGCCAGGCGTTCAACATTTCAGGCTATAACTCGCATTTGGGCTGGGAGTTCGGTCTGGGCGGCTAATTGTTTTTCGATCCTTTTTACCTCCTCTAATTTTTCTGCCGCCTCTGCTGTCGCGTCCACTCTCCTCTTCTTCTCCCTCATCACTGCCAATCTCCATTTCATCCTTTTCTCATCTTCCATCGCCTGCCGCTTTATCACATCTACTTCTGCGTCCCACGCTCTCATAGCAGCTTCCTGATCATCCTTGGGGATATACATTGCCACCTCTTCTTCTTCGCCCAGGGATAAATTGGCGACCCACTCTGAGATCCACTTTTCCATCTCCGCGTCTCTACTGCCACTATACTGCACTCCCTTCCTTTGCAGCGACGTTTCATCTTCTTCCTCTTCCATCTCTTTCAACTTCTGCTCTTCTTCCTTTTTCAATCTTTCCTTCTCCCTGACCATCTCCTCCTCTATCTTTCTCAACTTTGCCGCCTGCTCCTCCTACAGGGCCTTCTTCTTGGCCTCCTTCTTCTCTTTTCTCTCCTGCAGGATGACGACCATCTTCGCCTCCTCCTCCTTTATGTACGGCATAGTGGAGGTGCCGCCCCGGGTGTCTACCATGGTGGTGTCAGGTGCACGACAAAGGTCCCACTCCTCACCACTTAGACCTACCCGGACACAAACCTACTGACTGACTTCCTAAGGACCACAGGATAAGATCCTGTCAACTATGGTCACTAACCCAAAACTACTCTAAGGCTGTCACTACTAAACCAAAAGTTGATCTGGAGGCATTTAAGGAGATCCCCCGTAACTCCTCAAGAATTATTTAACGTCGCAGTCAGGATGACGTGATCAGCGTGGTTCTTCCTGGCGATTTCAGCCCACAACTCAGCCGTTCCGGCCTACTGTGCCACACCGAGCAGCCCGCCGGTCTGTACCGGTCCTTGGAGGGGTTCGTATCCCTTGGGACAGTCGAGTCGTCAGACACAGATCATCAACCTTACTAGGTCCGGTAGGGGAGTGGTTCAACCAGGCCTCAACACTTAAAAACGGCCTTCGTTTCAGCCTACAGCTCGGAGTTCGGACCCTCTACACTGAACTCAGTAGACCTGCCGGAAAGTACCGGTCATTGGGCTAGACGAGTTGTTTAATGAGCGCTCGCCGCTCATGCCTAGGTCTCCAAATGCCAGAGTAGAGATTAGTCCTACTAAGTCCTGTGCAGGTTTGGCAGCAAGGCCCTATCCTTCATCCACATAGTCCTATCACCTAAGACAGAAGAGACTCAATGCAGAAAGGAAAGACGGGCAGACTCAAACTCAACAAGTACCGTGGGGTAAGTGCACATCCACAGGGTAAGGGGATAGGCTAAGGGCTCAACGAGATATCACCAACTCCAACTTGGTCAAAATCTTGGTCAGCAGCTTTGGTCAACGCCTTGGTCAACGCTGAGTCAACGCGGGCAACCTCCCAGTCAACGCTTGGTCAACACCCTCGGTCAACGCCTGGTCAACCCTTGGTCAACCCTCTGGTCAACGCTCTGGTCAACGCCCGGTCAACCCTTCACCTCGGCTATGGCTGCCGGCACCTTTACCTTCATCACCCTC